AACAGCCGATTCGGCACCGTGACGTCACAAACCGCTAGGTGGCAGTAGTGTTCTTTGACGAACATTGATGTCTCCATTCAAATAAAAAATTACTTTTAATTAAAAACATAATTTATTGAACAGTATATAATAATTTCCTATTTAGAATACTTTCAGAAGTTTGAATTCTAAATATGACTGGACTTCTCCTTTTAAACATGCATGTTGCCACAAAAAACAATTATGCAACTACAAAGGTAAAGAAATTGCAGCTCAATAGAAGCACAGATGCAGCAAAATGTGTCCAAAATATTTCTCAAAGGTTATCGCTCCATATTTGTTGGTATCAGAGAGTTCTAGAAGATAATGGCTTCATTGATGCCATCACAATAACAATACAACGTGAATTTGTGATTCCACTACATTTCACAGGAGCTCTAATCAGTTGAAATTTGGTGACTTCAAAGGCCAATGGTTCCCAATAAACTCTTCATGTTCAAGAAATAAGCGTGAGATTGTTCAATCATGTTAAACTAGTGCAACTAGTTGATGCATTCTAGACAGGCTTAACTGGTATAGGGTTTAGTTTAATGTAGTTTGTTTTAATCACAGAAAAACAAAGGAGAAAAAAAGTGATAAAACAGGGTAAAAGTAATAACAGATGTGATGGCATGGTAGACACGAGTAGATTTTTATAAACGATACCAATAAAATTAGAAATCATGGTACAGAATATTAACAACACATAATTATCAAGTATATATTAATTATATAACAAAAATTAAACTTAAAGAAAACATGAAACATTTTCAAAATCCTGCAGTTTTGAATGTAATGATTTTTTCGTTGTACATTTTTGAACATGGAAAATAGAGAGTGTTCCATAAGCTATAAAAAATGGTTCCAGAGAGTTCCTTCTTATGGTCAGCCAAGGATTGTAAAATGAAGAAATGTTTAAAAGGACCATTTTTAAAAACCCACTATCAAATATCTCATTTTGCGTACAAAAGTACAAGTTTGCAAAATATTTCTATGAAATATATGCAGCAAATGCTGATTAGAAAAGTAAGGTCTATGTAAATATTGTTGTTAATCTAACAAAGCACTGTTAAAGCAGCAGGATTTTAATAAAAATATAAAATGTAGTTGTTCAATCAACAATGCAATATTTTTCTACAAAAGATGGAGACAGTTGTACAGATAAAAAATAGAATTATAAACAAAGCTTATAATTTTTGTGATAATACTAAGTGATTTAGTAAAGGTATCCATCAAAGTGTGCCAAAAAAATCATCATCTCTGTCTTTGATACAAAGCAGGATTAATATGTGCTTTCTTGTTGTTTACTATAAATTGTAATCTTACCATCTGCTTTAGCAGCTGAAGAGACTCACCAAAGCAGCCGTGTTTTTAAACCTGTGGCTCTCTGTCCTTGGTCAACCTGAGGAAACGGGAGCCTGTTCTTAGCTCACAGGGGTCCACCTGGTGGGGCCCTCAGCTGCTTACAGCACCTGTTCTTCAGAGATGGTTCTCCAGATACCTTGGAAGAACTGGATGGTTTTTGAAGTATTGTGGACTGTATATCGCCTTCAGTTAGGGACAAATGGTATTGGTATCAGTTTAATAAGTAAAAGCTGGTCAGTATTAACAACCGATGTTTATTTTAATGTAGTTGCTGTTTATGTTTCAGGAGCTGAAGGGATTTGTAATGTGGTGCTCGTTTGGTTATGTGATGCTGAAGCAGCTCAGGATATTGATATCAGCCAAGATTTTCATGTCAGTCATCCCTGACTTAACCCAGTCCACGCATACTGACAATTGGAAAGTTCCTCTTTTTAGGATTCTTCTTAATAAATCTGAGAGATAATTGTGCGTTAAGATCCCAGCAATTATTTCTGAAATATGTAAACTACTCCAAGTGATAATGATAAACCATGCCATGCCGAAAGTTGCTTTATTTTCCTCTTTTCCCCATGTGGTTTTTGTTCCATCATCAAGAAGGACTTTGCCCTATCGAAATGGCCAAGTGACATGAGTTACTCCCATGGCTAACAGAGAGGCTAGTGAATTATAGAAACATAAAAAAAAAAAAAAAACGCTGAGTTTGCTAACTTGCATAATAAGAGAAAAATAAAAAAAAATGGAGAAAAAGTATTTCATGTAAAATATATTTAGTCAGAAAGAGGCTCTGCTTTTTCAAACATTTCTGTGTAGATTTATCCTGTTTTCTTCATTTCACCTCCAATGTTAGCTGTGAGCAGGGAATTGTGATAAACACCTACAGTTCCCACCATGTTAGATTATCAACTGACATCTCTGGTAGAATGTGGCCCTGTTATTTATTGAAGCATGGTGAGAAATAAAATTACTACCAGATTGTGCCTGCTTGTTGATTTCATGTTGAATTAAATCTATGAACAGATGAGAAAACACAAAAAGTCGGTCGTGGATGACAAAAAAGTTTCCATATTCCTCACTCATAGCTTGTGCTTTCATGAAAGGGGCCTGGAGCCTTCTGTAATACCTGATTTTCTATAATATTTATCAGAAAAGAAAGCCATCATTAGTTGCTTTGCATAATTGCATCTAGCTGTTAGAATCATATTCAGAAGATCACATGCAGAGCGTAGAGAGGAAAAAATATATTTCTTCTTGATTGATGCATGATTGCTATTACCTGTTGTAATCTTCCAACGGTAGATACTAATAATGTATCAAACCTAGATTTTCCAACCTGACCGAAGTCTTTTTTTATACCCACAAATACAGAATAAAAATCTGTGTATTTAAGAAAAACATAGTTTTAATTAATAATTTTGATTATATTCTATGATGTGCTGCTAAGAAGATATTGGTGGATTTTAAACATTGAATTTACATTTTTTTTTTTTAATAAAAGAAATTTACAGTTTAAGAACAATTCAAAACAACCAAGGGGACATTTCTGACTTGCAGAACCTTCCATGTTTTCTCACCTGGTTTGTCTGATGGCACTACTGACGTTCCGTAAAAATTCAAAAAATATCCACTGGACTTGGTTTTCAAGATTTGAAGACGTTTCGCCACCTCTCCAGAGAAAGCTTCCTGGAGAGGTGGCGAAACGTCTTCAAATCTTGAAAACCAAGTCCAGTGGATATTTTTTGAATTTTTACGGAATGACTGACCTGGATGACTGAGAACCTTCATCAGCATATCGCACTACTGACGTGTTTTAAATGATATTGTTGGAGTGATGGTCAGGGCTCCCTGGAAGGATGAACACTGTGTGCTGCAGCAGGAGAAATCCTCTCCCACCCTTTACCATGCAGCCTGCAAAGTTCCTGCTGTAGTGTGTCTGCTGCTGGGCGGGATGTTCTCATGTTAATGTCTATCTACACAGGATCTGACTCCAAGACTGATTCAGTCATCTGTTGATATGAGATTAAACATGAGTCATGGCTTCATTTGGAATTGATGTAATATAATAGTTTAAAGGGTGGGTGGTAAACTCCGAACTGAGTTACACTCTTTAAAAGAACAATACCCGAACAATTGTTTTTAGCTTTAATTTTAAATTTTCTTCATGGTTAGGCCTCTGCCAGGAGCTGTTTGGAGGAAGATATAGAAATGTAGCAAGAACTAATTACATAACATGGCTTAAAATATTTGTTTAGGTTCTTAAAGTGAAGATAAGTCTAAATCTACTGGTCTGTATAAGTAAATACAAGTGATTGAGAGTTCAGACTTAATTCTGCTTACCGAAATACATTTTTCTTAGATTTTCTATATCACAAACTGAGCTTTGATATTTAACTCAACATCTTGTTTTCTAAAACAAAGCAATTTCATTAGCACTGCTGCATGGCAGTATTAAGACTTTAGGTGTTGATCGATCAAAGATGAAATATGCAAATATTAGAATTTATGGAAAAAACTTTGGTCATTCAAAAACATCTGCTTGTCTTTTGAGCAAATATAATCTGGGATTAAAAATTTAACAGTTTCAGGCATTTCACAGTTTGACAGAGGCTACCACAGTGTCTGCTGATAAGCCAATAGCAATGCTCCAAGGGAAGTAGGTGTAACATATTGGTTTATAAAAATTATTATGCATTTAAGGTATGTTTATATATACATTCCCTTTTAGCCCATTTGTTGAGATTAATGTTTTTGGATTAATGTTTTTGGATAATTATTTTCTCTATATATATATATATATATATATATATATATATATATATATATATATATATATAATAAAACTAAAATTAGGAGAAAAGAGGAGATAAGTTTTAATTTTCTTTCACATATTATAGAGCTTGATGATCAGGGCAAATTTCATGATCAAAGCCTATGTCAGATGGGTTTTGATCATCTGACATAGGCCATTATACTGAAATGACAGCTCCACCTGACGCAAATTAGTTTGAGCTGATTTAGCTCTGATTGTCTGCAGTTGTAGTAAAATGTTAGGTTAATTAATAGAATACAAGAGCTTACCTGTGTTTTCAGCAGAGTTTTTGTTATGTTTAAGATTGCTTATTTAAATTAAATTCAAATGAGGATTGAAAATGTAGAGCTTTTGTTTATTTATTCAGAAATAAATCAGACATGGTAAAAATTACAACAGTGGTTCCAGGGGAACAGTTTTTCTTGTTGTCTAGCCTTTACACAGGTACCATCTCCTGTCCTTTATTCTCCATGCTATTTCTTATATTTGCCAATTAGTGGGTTAGGAGACAAATCACTGCACTTTAAAAGGGATTCACATTGCAAATGGAGAGTCTGCCACCCTGTGGAGGAATTGTGGTACTGCTTTTACAATAAAACCTCCCTCTTATCTGCACTTCTTACTCTCTGGAGTGCCTTTATTTTATGCGTCTCATTGCTCTGTGTTGCTTGATAAATATTTATTGCTTTTGTCATAAAGAATTACTTTAACAATAGATTATCAAGTGAGTTTTGTTCTCAAGGAAGCACCCGTTATTTTGTTTCCAATTACCTCTAACAGTTTGCAATTCCTTTCCCGTTTTGTGTTTCAGGTGCAGCTTTCATCGTTGTTGTTCTCCAGTCCTTTCCTCTGCGCCCTGGCTTCATGGAGGGATTTCCTGTGCACTGACCTAGCAGGCTGCCCTCTGGACCAGCAGCCATGTCAGCTTGTAGCACCTTCACTGAGCATGTTTGGAAACCAGGCGAGTGCAAGAACTGCTTTAAACCAAAGAGTCTGCACTGTTTGACGCAGAGCAGTGGGGGAAAGCCCCCATCTGAACAGAGGCCACCCTCAAACCAGCAGCAACCCCCCCTTCCTGCAGGATCCAGAGCTAACTCTAACCTTACTGCCAACTCCCAGCGGGTAGGGGGCGGACCTGCACGTCCAGGACACATCCGTCCTCCGGTCGCTAAGAAGCCAACCATTGCTGTTAAACCTACTATGATGCTCCCCAGCTTATCTCCAGGACTGGATTCAGATGGCAATCTTCAACAGCAAACAAATGTTATAGAACAAGATAAAACATCAGCTTTTACTGCCTGGAATCGCAATGGACTGAACTGTAAGAGGCCTGGTGGGCCCAACAATAACAATGAAGGAGAAGATGACAGTGAGGAAATAGAGGGTTATGGACCACTCAGCCCAAGGACGCCCAGTGGAAATAATAACAACAGTGGACTGACGGATGTCCTTAAAGAGATTGCTGGGTTGGGCCCTGGCTCTAGCTCCCTGCTGCTGTCTGGTTCCAAAGACCTGTTTTGGGGGCGAATCAGTAGCTCATATCGAAGGTCCCTGGAAAGAGGCCTTCCAGCTTCTAGCTGCCTGGCTATAGGAAGCAGCAGCACAGAAGGTGGAGCTCAGAAACGAGTGTCACTAAGTGATTGTACAAAGATCATTAGCTCAGAGGGTGGGCGCTACTGCTACCCAGAGTTTTCCAGTGAGGATGAAGATGATGATGAAGATGAGGAGGGTGAAACTGAGAAAGATGAGGAGGAGCATGAGAGCTGGGATGAAAGTGATGAAGAGTTACTAGCCATGGAAATCCGTATGCGAGGCCAGCCACGATTTGCCAATTTCCGTGCTGCGACCTTGTCTCCGGTGCCCTTTGCAGCAGGGAAAAAATGGAATACGGTGCCCCTTCGAAACCGCTCCTTACAGAGAATTTGTGCGGTGGACTACGATGATAGCTATGATGAAATCTTGAATGGATACCCATCCAATGGAAGCCTTCTCCCCTATGGACCTCGTGAGACGCAAAGCAGTGCTTTCCTCTCAAATTCAGAATCCACAACCTCTCCTGAATCATCTTCATCATTGCAAGAAGATTCTCAAACCATTTCCAGTAGTGGAAGCAGTGTGTTTAAAAATGGCTTGCATTCGCCCACATCTTCTAAGGCACCTGTGCTTTGTACAACCCCCCCAAACAAGGAGTCTCCAAAAAGGGCTCTGAGTCCACCTAGGCTGGCCGAGACTCACAAGGCAGTGCTAGCAATTAGATTAGAGGACCAAGATGGTAGGGAAGGGATGCCAATGCCTCAAGCCCTTCCTGGACAACCAGTTACTATAAGCTTCAGCCCTACAGAGGAGCAGGCTAAACCTTATCGTGTAGTTAATTTGGAAAAGTCCCTGATTTGTAAGCCTTACACTGTGGTAGATGTCTCTGCATCAATGGCAAGTAAAGAGGAAAACAAACAAGATCCGTTGCCAAGACCCAAAAACCTACCAAAACCCTCTAGTCCTACATCATTCTGTAGCACCCCTTCAGTCCAGCCCCTTTCTCCTGTGACTCCCATTTCCCCAACTTCTCCTTTAAGATCAGTATCACCTTCATCCATTGCTCTGTCACAAAAGAAAACTGGACAAATACGATACCAAGAAGTATGGACGTCAAGCACAAGTCCTCGTCAGAAGATACCCAGAGTGGATCCAGGGTTTGGGAGTAGTTCTGGCCAGTCCATTGCTCCTCAGTTTTGCAGTCACAAGTCAGCTCCCACTTCTCCCATTGCAGGACTGTCATCCTCTAGAACTGTACCCGTAAAATCTCCAAACCTGTCTGAGATAAAATTCAATAGTTTTAATAATGCTGGCATGCCTCCTTTTCCAATTATTATCAGAGATGAGCCAGCCTATGCCCGGAGCTCCAAGAATGCAGTGAAGGTACCTATTGTTATCAATCCGAGTGCCTATGACAATCTTGCAGTTTACAAGAGTTTCTTGGGCCTCCATGGTGAGCAGTTACAAACAAAAGGGGGTAGTGGTAGGGTTGCAAGCCATACATATGAAGAGATTGGTTCTTCCGAGAGTGTCCAGTCCTCCTCTACAGAGAAAACACTTTCTGGGAAGGCCGCATCAGAGCAAGCTTTGCTTGAGGAGACGAAGTTTCCACTTGAAGTAGTGCCAAGTTTGCAGGGTAGAACCACTACAGATCCAAGCACACTAACAAGCACTGTTAAGAACTCCTCATCTGGGGTCCTCTCTCCCACTACAGCAACAGTTTCTTCTGCCAGTCTTGCCATTGCTGCAAATATAATTAAAACCAGCCCTGCTGCTAATGCTGTTACAAACCCCTACATTAAAAGTGGAAATGATGATGATAAAGTATTAGTTGCACCTACGGGGACAGGTGTAAGTCACAGAGAAGAGGCCAGTGCTGTGCTGTCACAGATTGTAGCATCAATCCAGCCTCCACAGTCTCCTCCAGAGCCCCCCTCAGCACAAACCAAACCCTTGAGCTCTGAGGAGTTATACGCCCTCCCTCCTGATGCCATGAAGGAGACCCTTACACGACCCAAGTCTCTGTTTTCTGGCACTGATAGTTGTCTTTCCAAGCCGAAAAAAGAAAACCCCTCAAAGGTTTTGTCAAAATCCCAGAGTGCGTCTGCTGCTGTCCCACTCGCCAATTCCAGATCAGAGCCCAGTGCGCCCTACCCACCACCGAGGTCCACATCGTCCCCTTATCATGCTTCTAACATACTACAGAGACATTTTGGTAATTGGACAAAGAGCTCCGCCTCCAGCTCCCCATCGCGACCTGGTGAAGGCGAATCGAGCCCCGGTGGGGAGGGGAGACGGATGTCTGCTGAGAGTTCCAAACCTAAAAGATGGATTTCCTTTAAGAGCTTTTTTCGCCGGCGGAAAGATGATGATGATCAGAGAGAGAAGGCAGAGAAAGACAAAGAGAAGGGCAAGCTGGTTGGGCTTGATGGGACTGTCATCCATGTTCTTCCACCACCACCCAACCAACATCAGCACTGGTTCACAGAGGCCAAACCTGAGGATCCCACCCAGAAGCCTACCATTATTTTTACCTACAAACCAGACACAGGTAGCAGCCCTGGTGATGGAGATCTTCGCATAGAGCAGTGTAGAGAAACTGATCTGCTGGCAGAAGAGAGCAGGGACTCTGACCTTTTGGGCCAAGGGGAAACTGTACCATCAGAAGGTGCTGGAGGAGACGCCAGCAGTAAAGACCTCAGGTAATTCTGCTTTTCATTTCTCAATGTCATCAAAGCATTACTCAGTATAGATTTTCTTACTGACTACAAACTATATGGCTGAGTTTGATCTTTCATATTGTTTCATGTTATTTTAGTAAGAAGTTGTTTTTGCAAACTGACTGATCCTATGTCCTGATTTTACATATTCCTGTATCAGTAAAGGTGAGCTAAAACATCTCATTCCCATTAGTTCAGCTATTCCACACAGGTAAACAAAACAACCAGAGTCTCTACTGGTTGGGAAGATTTCTAAGACGCCTTGCAAAAGATTTTACACCATTTTAGCTATTTCACATTTTGTCAAGTTACATTGACAGACTCCATTGTAGTTCATAGGTGGAAGGAAGAGGATGAGGATACCTAGCTGTGAATTCTATTTGTAGATAAATTTGTATATAGGTATTTTTAAATAGTAGATTGTATTTTAATTCAGTCCTCCTTGAGTTGTAGGTGATTTGTAGTTCCACCTCTTGCTGAGATTACGTTTGCAGGTTATAGCTCTACCAGCTCTGCACTTCTAAAGACTGAACTTTTTTACATTTTAATTTACAAAATAACTCAAGTTTAGTCAGCCTGGCTGGAGAGCATCCATAACATCGACTTTCAAAATTTGACTCAGATTTAGTTTTTTTTTTTTTTTAACCACACAATGGATCAAATCAGGGAGAGCTACCAAAATGTTTTTTTTTTTATTATTTGGTAAATTAGGCCTGGATCGATATTTTATATTTTTAAAGTTGAACTTTCTGATAAGTTTTTTTTTTTCAATTTGATCATATGTTAAATGTGCTCAAGCAGTAAAAAAAAAAAAGGAAAGAAGCATGGTTAACTGATCTGACAAATTTTTCAAGGAAACTTTAAATTCCTCATCTCACTAACAAGCTGTTAACATTTTCAGTCTTCAGTCACTCTTCCAAACCTGCTCAGCTTCTGAGCTCATATCTTGTTTTCTTTGCCCTGCTTTTATTCTGGTTTATTTTCTTTATACCCCTGCCATCCTGAACAGTTTTTGGGTTGTGTTCAGATGCCTTCTCATTTTTTTTATTATTTGTTTTCTCTATTTTAGCTCTCCCAGGATTCTCTTTTCTTTGAGCCCAAAGCCAGGAAATATTTTACTCCTCTATCATGTCAAAAGCACGGCCTCATTCTGTCTCATTTCAAACTTTTCAAATTTTTTTCTTCCTGTGGTTTTTGTCTTTTATTTCTTCCTAGATTTTTAGTAATTTAATTTCTTTTTCACTTTATCACTAGTCGCAGGAAACTCCAGTATGTCTAGTTATGCTATTTATATCTCACTGCCTGTCTGCTTATGATATCTGATGTATTAGGGCTCTCAGCATGCAGTAAAGGACCCGCTGTAGGAGTAATTAAGTCTTATTAAGATTCAGATCTCCCCCAGAACGATAGACTGCCCTCTGATTAGACTCTGCTGCAGCATTAAAGCTGATCTTTCACCATTTTCACACAGTGGCATCCCAGTAGGCAACATGAAACTCTCAGACTTAACACAGACAGTAAAGGGAAATATCACACCCAGTTTAATCAGTAGGACTCTCTACTCACTTACCGCTGACTTTCTGGGTGCTTCAGCCAATCCTGATTTGTTAGCTGTGAAAGAAACCATAATTTCTTCGAGTTATCCTTAAAAAGCTACAGTAGCTCAGAGATCACCTCGTATGACAGCCTACTTTCACAATATTACTGTACCTGAACAAAAAAAATAATGCATTGTCTGGATGGACCTGCTTGTGTTTAAAATAGAAAATCAAATATAACTCCACTTCCGCAAAAACATGCAAAATATATAAGCAGTTATAAACAATGTATATGGCACATTTTAAATTTGATTGACCAGAGAAGGATCTGGGATAGTTTCTGCCAAACTTTACATGTAGTTCACAGGAGCTTGTTGTGCAGAGCGTAGTACATAGTGTGCTGGTAAAGACTCTGCCGATGGCCCTGCAGTCGGCTCTTTAATCGATCTGCCACTTTGAGGTTGCTTTTACAGCTTCCCTTTAAATGGAGGAAGCGGAGCTACTCACTTCTTTTCACTCCACATCGATTTCTTAATATTACCAAACAGCCAAATTGTTTTTTCTTTGCGTAAGCTGAAAGAATGGCTACTTTTAGCTGATCAGTAGTGTGGGGGAGGGGCAGCACTTAATAAATAAGTTTGTTCTGATTATTTTTCTTGTATCTAATGGAAAAAAAACTCATGTTGAAGACGGTGAGTTTTTAAAAACTTGGTATACCTTTACAATGATAACAGGTTCACCTCTGTTCATACTGTACAGGTTCCATAATCAGTTTGTTCTCTTCTTGTTCCTACTAAAGGTGTTTTATGTAGAGCTGTTTGCTGAGGTGATAAACAAACATTAGCTCAGTTACCCTGGTTTTCTATAAATCATTAATATAAGTCATTTTCCTACTTTAAACCTGCGTAAAACAATGCTAAATAATTCAATTAGAGACATTTTAAAACCTGAGGCAGGTCTCATCCTTTCAGGTGGGAAACGAGGGGTTAACTCAGGAGAGTTTTTTTCTATTCGTGTTTTATTGGTGAACAGTGGGCGTGATCTTAAGGGCTGGGCAGCACACTTTACCTTCAACAGGTAAGAACTCTCACAGAGGGACAGACTGAGAAGAAGACATGCAGGAAAAGAGTTTGTTCCTCTGAGTCAGACCTGGTTTGGCATAGAATGTGATTTCTCCTGCCGTTTTGTTCAGAGTTTTCAGATGGGAAGCTGTGTGAGCCAGTACAGCGGGTAAGATCTGGCTCTTATCTTTTTACACGCCTTTGAAACCTGTGACCAACTCTGGTCAGTGGTTTACTGTAGACTTAGCTGGGAGGAATGAGTGTGTTTTCTTTCTTTCTTTTTTCTTTTTGTTCCGTTTCCATCCTCTGGACATGTGCAGCAGAGTTCTGAGAATGAGGGAGGCTGTTTCATGCTGTCTGAACAAGTCAGATCCTGACACTGAAGTGTGTAGCAGCCATTAAGGTATTCATTGTGTCAAGGACCTGGGAAGAAAAATGTATGGATGTTTTGTTCAGTATTTATTCATATTAATGGTCTTTAGACTTTAGGGATCTTTCAGGCAGTATTACAGCTTTTTGTCAATCATTCATATTTCAGCTCAGTTTTTCTTATATGCTTGAATAAAAAACAAGGAAGAATCAATGAGGAAATATAATTAATCAGCAACAAAAAAGCAGAAGTCAATTAAACATCTTCTGTGGTTAATTGTAGTGTTTTCTTTTTACCCTCTTCAGCTTTCATGTTTACTCTCTCAGCCGCTTTAGTAACCACCCACCTGCTAATGCTGGAATCCTGCATTAGCACTAGGAATGTGTCGCTCTGTGTTGATCAGCTGCCTTTTAAAGGCTCCAAGATTGTTTATGGCCTGCGGGAACATATCTGAAGCAAGTCAGATGATGAGAGGTTTTTCTCAGACTCACTGTCTGCCGAGGATAAAGGCAAAATTGGCAGAGTGTGGGGATGAACTGTTGGAGCATGTCTTTTCTGATCTTTTGGTCATACATGTGTCAAAAAATGAACAGCTTTTTATGGTAAGATGGTACATTAAACCCAACCCTCTTGATGTGTAATTTTAGGGACTTTCGCCCTGTATTCACATCATTAGTCACATCTGTAGCATCCTGAATCAGATGTGCCACAGTACAGGAAATGATACAGGATTCTGGTTTATTGCTGTTATTGTGCCCTTCCTATGGACAGAGGGTGGGGGAATGACGGTTCAAACTTAGCTTTAATAGAAAATAGTTTACATCAAACAGTACGTTGTTACCGTGCTTGGAAAGTAGAAAGGGTTCGAGTCTACAGGAGGGTTCAATGCCACCCAGAGCTACAATATACCTGGACGATCTTTGGGAAATATCAAGCTAAAGAGACTTTAGCCATTAGGTCGTTATACTGATTCAGGCTGGAGGGAAAAGAAGAGTTTTCATTTTATTTACAAAACCCAGTTAGTTTTTCTTTAAGGTAACGTCATGTTTCCTCAGGGTTCCTGTTCCTCAGGTACACCTTCCTTGCATGTTGTAGACAGGACTTTGTTCCAGCACACCTGATTCAAGTTAAGGCTCCTCCTTGACAATGAAGTGCTGCAGAGGCCTGTTAATTATCTTTTTTTTTTTGGGTCTGATACAACAAGAAAACTCCTTAAATATGCAGGACAGGGGTCCCTGATAAACAGGGTTGGAAACCACTGGCCAACTGGTTATGTTTAAGAAGGATTCTAGGTGGGACAGAATAATGGTATGGAGTCTTTTCATTTGATTGGCACATTCCAGTATTTTAGACATAAGGCTAATGTTGGTAACAAGTGGGAAGTTGCTCACATTGTCAGAGTTTAGTCCAGGCTGTTTGAATATGGGGGTCACAGCATCTAGTTTGAGTTTTGGGGACTGAACCAGAGTGAAGAGGAGTGATTCGTGCAGAATTTACAGAGAGATGCCGATGGTCCTTCAAAAACTTGGATGGGATGGGGTCCGGAGCACATGTGGATCTACGCATGCCTGCAATGGACTGTTTGGACCGTTCCACTGATGGGAGAAACTGAGTGGGGAGATTTGGATGAGGGTGATAGTATTCATGACCACAAAATGGTGTTTTTGTTCCTTTGGAAAAATGACAGAAAGAAATTGCACTTATTTACTGTGAAAAATTTGGAGATCTTGTCACTTCTTTAAGGAGTTTCTTTACTGTGGAGAAAAGAACCTTGATATTAGACAAGCCCTGGTGTATGAGGTTTGATTATTACATAACTGAGCTGAGTGAAAAGCATCTTTATATCGTAGAAGATAGTCAGTGTGGACTTCGTTAGGAAACAGTTTCCTTTTACAGTCTTTCCAGCACTCCATTTGGTAGAGTTTGGTGGTGTATCAAGGAGCAGAGTGCCAGAAAGTGACAGTTCTGGTTTTAGTAGGAGCCAGCTGGTCAAGACACGAGGAGTGTAAGTGGTCACGAGGTCAGAGGAGAGCAGGAGCACATTTTAATGTTAAGAGAGGCTGAGAGGGCAAAGAGAGGATGGATCAGATATTTCTAAATGTTATTTTGCCTTTGTCCTGGCGAATGGGGATGTTGATGTCCATAGGGGTTGCCAGGTGGTCTGAGATAATTATGATGAATAATAATTGAACTTAATTGATCTCACATTGGAGAAATTTACCTCTGCATGTAACCAATCCCCTTGGGGAGCAATTGGCTGCCATTGTGGGGTGCCTGGGGAGCAGTGTGGGGTTAAGGGTCTTGCTCAGAGACCCAGAGTGGCAGTCTGTGGGAGTGGGGCCCAAACTCAGAACCTCAGGATTCAAAGCTCTATCCCCTAACAGCTAGGCTGCCACCTGCCCAATGTTCAGCTTTGCAGAAAATATGGTAGTTTTAGTTGAAATGAGTGGAAGAAAGCGACTTAAAAATGTGTCTCTGTTTAATTAATATTATACAAGTATAGAAAATTAAGATCGATGGCAGAAATGAAAATACTCTCTGTGGTATTGAATTCAGTGCTGCTTGTTACCTCTGCAATTACCAATATTAAACAGTTGGTTGATTATAAGGCTCCTCTCTCTCCCTGTAGCAGCCAAGGGAAAGTCACCATGGCTTGAGGTATTCCCTTCAGCCTAAATGACCCACAATTATCTGGAAACATAAAGTATGACTCACATCTCTTTCACTAGTCATATTAGTTTTGATCTGATGATTAATTCTCTGTTCCAGTCAGGCAAAGGCTTGGTCATGCTGCTCTAAATTCATTTGTAAACACTTCTGATCAAACTATAGTACCTACCCTTCCATAGGTTCTTTACTAATACATGATCATCACATTACACAGTGCCATATTTTACCTTGTCATTGCATCTCCTTCCTGCCTTTATGTGTGAGGTTACCTGTAAAAACTCACATTTCAGATACTTTGATCAATCCAGTTCCCCCTGAGAGCCAGGGGGGTCATAGAAACACTGATTTTAGAGGGTTAAAGAGGATAATAAGGGTCAGTTTAGAATAAGAAAATGAAGTCCTTTAGACATTAACTTTTGATTGTAATTCAACATTAGCTATATTTGTGTTGTGTTGTTTAATTTTATCTTGCTGCTTTTTTGATTTCTTTCACAAGAGCAGCTTTTTGTTTTCCAGTTTTAATGAAGTATTAACATGAGTTCTTCCTTCTCTGTCATTTGCAGCCAGGTACCAGTCAGTCATGCCAGGGACCGGGACCTGCCCAGGATCATCCCTCTGCCTGCCAGAGTGAATCTAGGGCTGGTGTTCGGGGACGCCCATGAAGACCATGCCAACCAGGCCGCCCCCCCAGTCGCCATCAGTGATGGCAGCATCAGCGTCGGCGAGCCGGAGGACGATGGAAATCATTCCCATCACTCCCACTCTCCTGCCTCCAGCCAGTGTAGCGCAACCTACAGCAACCTAGGTAAGAACGGCTCATAAGAAACCAGCTATTCTTCATGTTTAAACCTTAGTTAAGAAGATGTGTTTTTAGGATTTCAATCTAACAGACAAAGTAGTATATAATTGTAACAAATAAGAAAGCTAAATCTTTGGCATGCAAACCAAACAGAAAAGTAGATGAACATTATCACCAGAACTGGGCCTGAACTCAGCATGCATCCTCATGTGACAAAGCTGGAATTCATTGCTTCCAAACATCTCTACACAACGTGTCACCGACCGTCTGCCTCCAATAATAACCCGAAATCTGTCAGCTTGAGGTGGGAAATGATTGCTGCGAAGCTGGGAGCTCCAGTTTTAAAGAGCTGGTCCTGAAATAGAGCGATAATTAAAACCGGGGTCTCTCCTTCAGCTGTAATTTGCAGTAATGAGGGTTTTAAGATGTGTGAAATCAGTTTTTTGCCTACCAAAAGTTAAAAATCAAACAGACAAAGTTTTTATTTCTTTTAAAGAGGATACACAGCACAGTTTCTACTTCTCCTATCCAGCTCCTATTTCTCTAACCACACAGTACGGCTGGGCACAGAGATGCTGCTTGTATTATTGCTGTGCTGAACAACAATCGGACCATAATTATATATTTTCTTTGTGCTGTGATCCTAATAGTTAATGGGATGCGGCGATATTAAAGCCCAGGGTTACAGAAACGGATGTGATTTAAAGCCATCAGGTGGCCGGCTTGCAAAGGAAAGAAAGAAATCAGGAGATAACTGAGCAGCTCATTAGCACAGGCTATTGACCTGCTTTATAGTCGTCCAAACTGGTGCTGATGATGAAGCTTCCCTTCTGAGGATCCTCTTTTAGAGCTTCTATTGGGCATTGAATATTTAATCTTCAGCTTCTCATAATTCGTTGTTAGAAATTTAAGCCTTTATGAGATTCTTACATCATGAAAACTTTGAGTAGAAATACTAGTTTCTTATGTGTGACATGATTTAGCTATGAATCATTCCTGCTGCTGCCAAAACAACACAAATTGTTACATCTCAGATAAAGTTAGCTGACCTTTATGTATTAGTATCTTAAATTTGATGCATAAATACTGCATGAAGAGATGCTGATTTAGTACTAGTGTTCAGGTTCTTACTGTAAATAGTTTCCGAATTCGAATGTTTTTAAGTAACTCAGTTATAACAATCTGATACTAGCTGGCTAGTATCTGGTCTCTTTCTCCTCGAATATATAGTCTGCATTTAGATATGCTGCCATGTCCGTGTTCAGCAAGCTAATAACCAAGCTTAAAAGAGCTTCTCTGTGTTTACAGTATGCTTTCAAAGATGCTTATTCATCCTGGTCATAGTCATTCCAAAAATAAAAAAAAAGTAAAAAAATACGACCCCCCTTTCGGAGACATAGACAGGTATCGGGTATTGCAGGCTAACAAAGAACCTAAACGACTGGCCATTTCTAAGGGGCAGACCTGTTTGTCCATTTCAATTTTCATATTTTCTAAGCCAAAACAAGGCTTTGTTTTTGTTCCACTCTATAAAGCCACCAATTTAAAGCTATTTCTGACATTTTGAATTGAAAAAGCTTCCTGGATGGGAAGCAAAATGTCTTCAAACTTGGAAATATAATCCAGTGGATTGTTTTTAACTTTTTTTAAATGTGCTTACAGTGTTTTTACATTAGCTTAGCATGTAGCACCGCTCAGCATTTAGTTTTTTCTTGTCAATCTACACAAAGAACTCTTTTGTTTTCCCGATAAAGAAGTTCTGTTTTTTTTTTTTCTGACTTTTTTCTGGATATTCAGACTTTAAAGAGTTATTATGGCCTGGTGAAGCAGCGTCTTTTAATGCTGCACCAGTGCTGAAAATAAGACTAATGTTATTGAGTAAGAATAAATCAATGAGTATCTTTGAATTATTCCTTTTGATTTAAGAATGAATTAATTCCAGGTATTGATTATTTATATGGCCTTCCTGACAAATCATGTGAATATTTTAGATGTGATCAGAATCAAACAGTTATGCATTTAGAAGCACTAAATAAAAAATCTCCTGAACCAATATAAACAGATTTATGCAGTTAAAATGTTGAAGGTGATAATTCTCGTTGTTCCCTTTTACATCAGCCTCTACATCGTCATCCGTGACTTGAGCTGAATAGGAAAGGTTTTGAGTGTTTTATTAAGGAATGATGACGATAGTAGAATGTGCTCCTCTTTATGCATCGCAGATATGAAGCAGTACTTCAGAACACTTTATATATGATTCATTAAGAAAGCTAAACCTTCCAGCATCTTTCAGTTTCTACAGTGAAAGATTCAAACAGCTTTGCTAACAGTCAGATTAATGACAAAACTAATACATTTTTCTTCATGTGATCTGGAATAGACTGGGCGTTTACCCAATGTATTAGCATGGATGGTGGGAAAAAAAAAAAAAGGATTAGGATTTTTAGCTCTTTCCTCCTAAAAAAGCACAATGTAGTTTAAGCACAAGTTTATCCAACACTGGATAGTATGTGTGAGTCCCAGTTATTGCATCAAGTAGTGGTAGAGGTGGGCGCAGCGGTGCTGGCCACTTGAAGCTGCAATGTGAGTGGGAAAGTATCAGGCTGTGATGAAGAGCATCTATACAGGAGAAGAAATAGAAACATAGTGATGGACAGAAGGGATGAGTGTGGGTATTGTGGAGTAGATTCATCAGCGAGGTGCTTCACTTTACAGATGCCAGTGCGTGGGTCTCTCTTTCTGTTAGACGACTCATCAGGGACTAAATATGTCTGTTGTTCTGTGCTACTTGCTAATTGTTGCTCTTATGTACCCTGCCTAAATGTGTGTGAGCGGTATTTGTGTTATTAAACCTCAGTGTGTGTACTTGTTGTGTTGGCCTGTGCTAAAAGCTCCCTGGGTGTCTAATGATGAGCTGCCTGCAGCCTGTTTTTTATTTTGCTTCATGCAGCTAATGAGAGACGAGACAGGAAATAACGACTCTTTGTTTCTGTGAGGCGGCTAGGAGACGAGCGCATCTTCTGCCTTGAGATGCACAAGTCGTTATTTGATTTGATGAACTGACTTGCTCTCCCTTTTGCTGTTTTTCTGCAACTTTCACTTTTCGCGCACACATGTGAGTACCTCCCTCCCTCCCTCGCCTGGGTGCACCAACTTGTGGTTTAATCAGAGCATCAGGCAGGAGGAGGCAGAGCGCTCGCTCAGAGCTGCTCCTCACAGACTCAGAGATGGAAGCAGAGAAGAGTGTTTCACTCCGCCTCTCTGCTCAGCTGCTGCACAGTGTTTGCTGTTAAAACGTTAGTGGAGTTGAGGTAGGCTCGTTTTTTCCTTGTTCTCATCCCCTGGTTTTCATCTGTTTTTCTTCTAAATTTGTCAGTTTGTCCACCAGGATCCACCCAACTTCTCTGCTGTTGTTCCTATGCTTATCCTGATTTTGTTTCAAAGAGTTTGGCTGGAATCCTGTTGCTATATCAAGAAGTTCTGCATCCCCTCGTTTTAATCCGTTTTTAGAAGCAAAGAATGTATGAATGTTTTCTATAAAAAAACTCTAAAGTCTGCAAGGATGAAAATGAACAATGCTAAACACTGACAGGATTACAACCACTGCCTACAGTATTATTCTGCAAGTTAGATGATTGTTACAATTGTGTTAGAAGATCTATGATGACTGTCCAATGAAAACTAGTAGATATACCTTTCTTAGACTCTCTGACCTTACGTCGGACTTACCTTGATTTGGTTTGTTTTTTCTGGTCATCTCAGAGAACTGAAATGATTTCTATTTCTTAACAGGAGAAGAATTTATTTTAAACAAGTTGACACATATTTCCTTAATTTTTTATTCCTTTTCTGAGTCGAACATTTCCTGCATCCCAAAACAGTTTGCCGGGTTTTGACTCATGACAAACTATTGGGTGCATCGTGATGCACAGATTGCAGCTTTCTGGCTGATCACAAATTACCAATCTTTAAATGGGGCTTTTTTTTTTTTCATTAAAAGTGACACTGTCAGTTATTATAAGATCGCATTACACCTTTAATATTAACTTAAAACATTGAACTATACATGTGAAACTATAAAGATATGTTCAGCTGCCCACTAGCTCAGTGTTTCCCAACCTTTTTTGACTTGTTTACCCATGAGTACCCCTCTCAGTCAAAAGTATTGATGATTGTCCAAAAGTGTAACGTACAATAACTGATTTTAAAATAAAAATTATTTCACTTAATCTTTTAACTTGAGCATTTAATTGTAAGGCATTTTATAGAATAAAATCCTATTATAAACATTTATTGGTAAAACCGGAGCTCTTCTGAATAACTCCCTTATAATCACATTTAAACTTGATGAATTGGGAATAAAATACAGAAAAAAAATTATAGTCAGTCTGACTTCAATAGTTTTATTTACTTTTTGGTTGATACTACCTAAGAAATAAATTATGTTCATGTACCTCTTGCAAAGCACTGATTGACCACTAGGGGTACAAGTACCACCGGTTGGGAATCAGTGCACTAGGCGATGGTTGGGATGTGACCTAAACTTGGTATATCGGTGGGAAATGGAGGCTGATTAATGGATGCACCCCTATGGGAGGTGAGTTTAGGATTGCAGCCCTCTTTGGTTGCACACATGGTTTCAGCTCAGCCTCTTCTTTAGGATTTTAATGAGAACGGTAAGACATCGCCTCCAGTGAATTTGTCACTTTGTTCTTTAAGCCTCTTTGAATCCATTAATATCCAAGAATTACCTTCCGGACTATTGCTTTAATATTTGTCCTTAAAGGAGAAGTTCGGTTTTTAACACTTTTAGCCCATTTTCTGTAGTGTCCAGGATGAAATCGAATGATCGACACCAAAATTTTGACAATTGGTCCTGTCTCCGACGTCGAGGTGCTAACGTCTCTGTTAAACACTTTAAAAAACTCTGAAAATGGAATACGAAAGGTGGATTCTTGATTCTCGACGTCGGAGTACACAGAGTGAAGCGAAAAGACTACAACTGTGTAAACAGGCTCCATTTCCGTTTCCGGTGGCAGCGGAATATTGACTATTCCAACAGAACTCAATGGGATTTACAAAATGCTAAATAAAACACTACAGGAACGTTTTTTCTTCACGAAACTTTTTTTGGAACGTCATTGAACAGCGCTGACGACCCGGTGAGTAGCATATTTTAAAAAAAGAACGTTTAAGGTTGTTTTAAGGACATTATCGGACATGCCCTATGGAAGCCATTCTGAAGCAGCTAGGGGGTGATTCTAAATGAGCCAAAAAGCAGAGACAGGACCAATTGTCAAAATTTTGGTGTCGATCATTCGATTTCATCCTGGACACTACAGAAAATGGGCTAAAATTGTTAAAAACCGAACTTCTCCTTTAATTTTCTTTCCTCATGATGTCATTAGTTTTGAGGAGTGAAGAAAGACATGATGTAAACTTCATAGATAACACTGTTCTCATGCTTCCCCTACTTTCTCTAGATGTGACTAATCATCGTCATTTTAGCCAAACACTTCCACTACACCACAGGACATGCCTGATGATAGTCTTTGTTATTGAGTCTGTTAATGAATTGCAATAATGCTTTTTACATATTTTTTTTTTCTTCCTTGCTGATCAGCTTTCAGCCATAAAGTGGAGAATAACGAGCTCTTACCAGCCTCAGATAGCATCTTCTCAAGCAATAAAGTTTGTTGTTTTTCTAGCATCATGACAAACATTTTGCCACTAAATAGGCTGGACAATAATCTAACATTACTATATATAATAATATAGATTTTATTAAATAACAGGGATATGAATTTTCTGAACTTTTATCCGAATACCTCACAGTCTTCAGCCTTCAGTTACACCCTTCTGTGATTGTAGAAGGTATCACTGACTGATCTCCCAGGTTTTATGTGGTTTTGGGGGGGTGTTTTTTAAGCAAACATGTCTAAAGTGTCATATTGAAAGAGCAGAATGATCATACGTTTGTTTTGGGCATTCTTAGCTGTCATTTTTTTATATCTATATCAAACCTTTATCATATTGATTGAAATAAAGATATGTATCATGGTGTATTGATCACAGTGTTGAGCTGTAGCCCCTAAACAGGTTCATCTGTGGAACACAGAACCCGTCTCCTGGTTTTATACTCCTGTATAATCTAATAGAAAACCCTGGAAAGGTTATGTCTATCAATCAAGGGGACTTGCAGAGGTCCTGACATCTCAGCTCATTTCTTTAGATGTTGCTTTCATGTTAGGAGCAGACTGTTTGATGCATCGCCTTTAAAATACACCCAGTGGAGCATCCATCCTCATTTTAACCCCCATGTTTTTCCAGAAACTCACAAACACGTGATGCTTCAGACTGTTTAAAGTAGTAATGATTTTACTGTGTCTTTTTGTATGACATGGAAATAGCTCTGTGGAAAAACAAAATCATATTTGGTAAGAAATGTTTGGTTATTATGTCACATTTTCTTATGTAATTCATTGAGTCACAACAGTAGATCCCTTCGACTGGACAAGGAAGATGTCTGCCTCCTTGGACGGATTACCAGAGATTGCTGGATGAACATAATAATCTGTGCCTTCTAGGGAGGATTATGATGAGTCATTTACTCATTTCATCCTGACCGCTCTGTCCAAAACTGTAGCTCCATCCTTAAGGCGAAAGCACATCAGGTGGTCTTATAGCAGAATTTGTAATCAGCAGCATTTTATGCAGGGAGAAAAGATTTGTTAAAGCGGATGCCTGGACCACTCTGATGGGAGGAGTAAATCTCCAGAGTAATTGACTGAAAAGGACATCATCTTCTTACTCTGTGCAGTCTTACAGTAACATCTGCCAGGAAACCAAGGTGATCCTTGGCGAGCTAAAGCGGTGCTGAAGGCCTGCCTGTGACCTTTTGAACCCAGCTCCCTCTTTTATTCCATGCAATGGAAAAAAAACGTTTATCTAGCCTTTTAATGGACGCTTATCTCTGACGTTTTTGTCTCTGGGGATCCCTGCAGTAAAAGGATGAGCCCCCTCCATCCTTGAACCTCTTCAATCATTTCATAGAGATAAAGAAACAACAAGCTTTGGGTATATTTGATCTCTATAACTTGGGGTTTAGTTTGAGGCTGGTTTGGGCAGGCGAATAGTTTCAGCTCCTCTGCTGAGTGTTTTGAATTCTCCTCAGAGCCACACGTTCTTGCACATAAATTTTTCACACTCTTGTCTTCATATGAGGCAAGAAGCCAGCAGCCACGAAAGAAACCACTGGTTCAAAGAAAGACGTAATGAGGAGTTCTGCCTTTTCTTTCGTCTACGATTTCTCTTTGATTCTTGTTAGAGAAACGTTTGACATCAGCATCCATCTTTGTTTTTTATAAATTCTTGAAAAAAACAGGAACTGTGGATGCTTCAGTTAAAATCCTCCAGATTTTATTTCTAATGGTGCATTTAAGAGGAGCACATGACTGATTTGTAAAAAAAACAAAAAACAAAAAAACACACGCACATTATATGTATGTATATATGTGTGTGTAAGTGTATGTGTGTGTGTATGTATGTGTGTGTGTGTGTGTATATATATATATATATATATCTATATATATATATATATATATATATATATATATACAGGACTGTCTCAGAAAATTAGAATATTGTGATAAAGTTCTTTATTTTCTGTAACGCAATTAAAAATCATGAAATGTCATACATTCTGGATTCATTACAAATCAACTGAAATATCGCAAGACTTTTATTGTTTTAATATAGCTGATTATGGCGTACAGCTGAAGAAAACTCAAAAATCCTATCTCAAAATATTAGAATATTTCCTCAGACCAAGTAAAAAAAATAAATTATAACAGCAAAACAAAATCAAACATTTGCAAATGTCCATTAATGCACTCAGTACTTGGTTGGGAATCCTTTTGCACAGATTACAGCATCAATGCGGTGTGGTATGGAGGCAATCAGCCAGTGTGGGAACTTCACACTGGATTTCAAGCAACTTGGATTTTGTGCCTCTCCAGCCTTTCTCCAGACTCTGGCGCCTTGACTACCAAATGACATACAAAACTTGCTTTCGTCTGAAAAGAGGACTTTGGAGCACTCTGCAACTGTCCAGTGCTTCTTTTCCATAGCCCAAATCAGACGCTTCTTCAGTTGTCTTGAGTTCAGAAGTGGCTTGACCATGGGAATACGGCTATTTTAGCCCATTTCCCGGACACGTCTGTGAACAGTGGCTTTTGATACCTGGACTCCAGCTTCAGTCCACTGTCTTTGAAGCTCCCCCACATTCTGGAAGCAGCTCTTCTTCACAATGCTGTTAAGGCTGCAGTCACCTCTCTTGGTTGTGCAGCGTTTCCTGCCAGATTTCCCCCTTCCAACACACTTTTTGTGAATGTGCTTTAAAACTGCACTCTGTGAACAGCCTGCTCTTTGAGAAATTTATTTTTGTCTTACCCTGCTGATGGACGGTGTCAGTGATGGTCTTCTGGACAGCAGTCAGATCAGCAGTCTTCCCCATACTTGTGATTTAGTCTACTGAACCAAGCTGAGTGTTTTTCAAGGCTCAGGAAACCCTTACAGGTGTTTCGAGTTAATTAGACGATTCAAGTGATTAGTTGAATAGCCTACTAGTATACTTTTTCACGATATTCTAATATTTTGAGATAGGATTTTTGAGTTTTCTTCAGCTGTACGCCATAATCAGCTATATTAAAACAATAAAAGGCTTGCGATATTTCAGTTGATTTGTAATGAATCCAGAATGTATGACATTTCATGATTTTTAATTGCGTTACAGAAAATAAAGAACTTTATCACAATATTCTAATTTTCTGAGACAGTCCTGTATGTGTATATGTTCTTAAATCCTATGCATGTCATTTTGATCCTCACAGTTGAGTCATCCAATTTAAACCCATATTGAAGTAGCTCTTCTTTTCTATCTCCAGGTCAGTCAAGAGCCAATATGATCCCCCTGAAACAGCCGCGGAACCTCAAAGCCTCCAATGACACGTTGTCCTCCGTGGATCTCGACGGCTCCATGGACCAGCCCCCTTCTAAAGCCACTCCTCCTCCGCTTCCCAAGAAGATTGTCCCTCGCTCCAGCACTGAACCCAGCCTGGGGATCAAAGAGCCCGCCCAGGGAGCCCTCAGACCCCGGGCTGAGGCCAAACCAGGAGGTACTAACCTGAGTGTGGCCAACCCTCTGTATGACCTGGACTCCACCTGGGAGACGGCTAGCCAGAGCTCATCTGTGAGCTCTGAACCACATCGAGGCCATGACCATGAGAGCGGTGACTCTTTGGAGAGGTCGTCTGCTTCCACAGCCACTAGCAAGGGTCGCTTGGCTAACAGCGTGTCCTCCCTTACCCCCCAGCCAGCCACCGCCACACCTGGTACTGCCTCTGGCAGGGACAAGAGGGCCTTCCCCAGCGTGGAGTCTCTGGGTGGGAGGGGTCGGACTGCAGGACGGGGGACGGCTGGCGGGGGGGCCTCTAAACCACACAGACCTGCTCTTTACAGGGGCTTGGACAGCTGGGATGAGGTGGTTGGGAGGATCCGCGGACTTCACACCGACACCCTACGGAAATTGGCTTCAAAATGTGAGGACCGCTTCATGGCCGGCCAGAAGGACCACCTGCGCTTTGGGACCGACAGCTGGTCCCACTTCAGGTTGACCACCGGCAAACCGTGCTGCGAGGCAGGAGACGCCGTCTACTATACTGCCTCTTACGCCAAGGACCCTCTGGTCAACTACGCCATCAAGGTGAGCAAGGTGCTTCTACATTCATTATTGAGGATCAGTTAGATTTACAGATTGCCTCAGACGGACCAGCACCTCTAAACACAGGGTTTAGGATTAATTGTATCACCAATACCTTTAGTAAAAGTTTGGCTCTGTTCAGGAATGAATTATAGGGACAGCTCCTTGCAAAAGTGTGTTTTTTTTATAAGTTCATTTGATTCTTTATGCAGGTTCTCAGAAGAACAAAGCAGGTCTTTTTAGCTTAAATTCAGGAAGTCAATCAGTCAGGAAAAACTATACTAAAACTATAAAAACGTATTTTTACTTTTTAATCCTTTAATCTCCGTTTCATTACCTTAATTATATTCTTTATTCCATTCCTTCTTCCTTATGTCGTTCCTTGCTTCTTGGCTCCTACTTTATCTTCATTTTTTGTCCCTTCCTTTAAGTCATTCTTTCCCTTCTTCAGTCCCTCTCTGTAGGTCCCACCTCTCTTACCTACCTCACCATCTCTTCCTTTAAATCCTCTCCTCTGTGTTCTTGCTTGTGTCATGTCTTCCATGAGTTCTTTCCGTTTTCCATAATTTAATGCGCCCATTTCCCCATTTTTAATCTATGTTTTGTCAGTGTGATTCCAAAAAGTACAAAAAAAACAATGTACTGGACCTTGTTTCCAAGTTTGAAGACGTTTCGCTTCCCATCCAGGAAGCTTTTTCAATTCAAAATGTCAAGAATAGCATTGAGTTTGAGGCTTTATACAGAGCCCAACAAGGCCTCAGTTTGTTTAGAAAAAATGCAAATTGAAGACTTTCCTTTAGCGGGTCATCAAAGCAGATCTGAGTGGCTGTCCTAATGATTGGACCTAAATACATTAAAATCCAGGACAGAGACCTGCTTAAATGTTTAAAACTGGGGTGGAGGGTCACTGCCAGATGAACAGCAACACTTGAAACAGAACCAGAGCTACAGAATGGCAGGGATATTTTGGAATAAAATTAAACTCCTCTATTTAATATTTGTTCTGCCCTGAGGACTGGAGTGTGAGATCCCTGGTTTAGATCAAAGCATATCAAGGTGCTAAACCAGTAACCACACACCTAAAAACAGTCACATCTGTAAAAGCATCAGAACAGGCAGACTGAATACAAATATACGGCACATTTCAACAGTATTTTACCTGTTAAACCAACCTTCAAAATGTACCCACTGCTTTAAAAGCTCCGCCAAAGAAAATCTTCATAAACACATTAAATCCTTTTTTGTGTTGTAATTTCTGTGAGCTTCATAATGCATATTGAATGATGCCAGTTCAGAATGACACACCGTAACGGTCCAATCAAAGGCCTCATTTCTAAATGCTGCCTCTAGTGTATGATCAAAGCAAAGCCTTTTAAAACATACCCTCCTAGAACTCAATATTGTTGCCTTTAGAAGTCCTTGTTTTCTTTCTGTGGTTTAAACTCCTCCCACATCCTCTGCAAAAGTGTTTACCTTAAAGTGCTGCTACTTAAACTTTGAGCCCTGAGGAAACGTTCCCGTGTAATAAAACCTGTCTGTGTGTGTGTGTATGGACTAAAAGGTAATTGTGGCTTAGCTCTCTATGCCTCATTGGACATCAAAGCTCAAATATAGTCTATTCTTTAAGGTGTTTTTATGAAACAATGCAACTGGAAACAGCAGAACTCCAACAAGCACCAACTTGCTGGTTTTCCTTTTGTAAAATCTTCCCCCAGTTTAAAACCCTCTTAGCATGTCTTTGTAAAAATAGTTTCTGACGCACAAAGTTGGATATCTACATGAACACGTTAGGTTAATTTATGAGAGTTAAGTATGTAGTGAAAGGGGTGGGATGTTAAAGCATTAAAATGAAGCTCAGATTTATTTCTACACAGCTTCTTGGTTGCTTGCAGAGATTCAGCTGAAATGGGAACGGAAACTGGGCTGAAGGACACCTCTCAGCTATGGACCTGTAGGCCTGTTAGGTGATCCTCTCCAGTTAGATGTGCATCTTGTTCCTTATTCTCCTTCCCTCCTCTGTCAGGATGCACTTCAGCAGCGATACGGTGGAGCTTTAAAGCTTCCTCTTCTTGAATTTATCCCAGCACACACTGAATAAATCAAGCGAATTCTAATCCCTCCGAGTCCCTTTAGCTCAAAAGTAAAATATATTGCATCATTTTAAATTTTTCTGCTTTTATTACTGGGGGTAAAACCTGTTCTTTTGAAGACTTAAATAACAGTTTTATATACATTTTAACAGTGTTTATAAATGTTTAAATACTGTGTGCTTCACAGTCTACCTGCAGCCAAGAGTAACAATGTGATACTAATACTCTGAGCTGAGGTGAAGGGCTTGAACATTTTACTGACCAATATATGCTAATCCAAATGCATGGGGTGTATCGTCAGATATCAGCTTTAGTGAGGTCTGAACTCTAGCTAAGTTTATAACACATTCATATCCTTTTTTTTATAAACTACTCTGTTGCAGCTTTGACTCTCTTTTTACGATTGTTGCCCCTCTTGAAGGAGAACCTCCACCCAGCCTGGAGCCTTTTAATGCTTCTAACTTAGACTTAGATGGATTTTTTTTTTTCATTTTGCATACAGCAGTGTATACAAAAAGAAATTTAGTTTCAAACAGCTGTAGAAAATTTTTATTTTTTCATATTCTGTGAAATAGTGAAGAGGAGCTGTTCTTGGCCGCTGCCTTGGAGCGCCGCTATGGGGGCATGGGGCCAGGATTGTTTTGTATTCAATTTACTCTGAAAAGCTTTAATGCCATACTAAAGAAAAGGATCCCATAGCATGATGCTGCCACTATTCTGTCATTTTGCAGTGCAGTATTGAGTTTCTGATCAAAGGGTTTCTTCTTTACTGATTCTAAGGAATTCCTTTGCCTCCTGTTTCCATTACTCTGAATATTTATATAAATCCGTCTGATAACGTATGGAAAATTTGATTAAATAACTGCAATATACCTTCTATCCAGTGTTTGGCTTTACTAAAATACAAGACTGACTGAATGTTTAGATTGGATCTAAGAATTATAAAAATAAAAAAACTGATAATCTGTCCACAAGTACAGAGACTTGATAGTGTTTACTTCTAATCATAAGCAAATATTAATATAAGGAGAAGAAAATGAGGTGATGTAGAAGGTGAAAGCAGGATCAGCTGGTGGGGTCCAGTAACAATCAGTGATTTCTGTTTGTATTAAATGTCTGCAGATCTGCCGCAGCCACGTGAAGGAGACACAGCAGCAGTTCTTCCACAGCCTCGCTGTCAGACAGAGCCTGCCGGTGCACTTTAACATCCAGCAGGACTGTGGCCACTTCCTGGCTGATGTCCCCACCCGACTGCTGCCTTGGGAGGAGGAGGAAGAGGAGGAGGACAACAACGAAGATGAAGAGAGGAGAGAAGGGAATGATGAAGGACAGACGGAGAAAGGAATTCGAATGGACACAAAAGTGAGCGAGTCTGAAGCATCCAACAAGTCCGATGAGACCCCAGCAGCAGGGAACATGAACACAGCGGCCCACCTGAGGAGCCGAGTGGTTGTCATAACACGGGAGGTGCCCTTCCAGACCGTGGCGGACTTTGTCAGAGAGGGTGTGGCCCGCCATGCTAGCAACCCCGAGCTTTACGAACGTCAGGTGTGTCTCTTGCTGCTGCAGCTCTGCTCCGGCCTGGAGCACATGAAGCCCTTCCACGTCACCCACTGCGACCTACGGCTGGAGAACCTGCTGATGGTCCAGTGCCAGCCGGGCAACCCCTGGAACCTGGAAATCCTCGAACCCAACAACAACAGCAGCGGCAACAGCTCAGGGGCTTCAGCTGCCAGCAGCGCCACCTGTCCCGCCCGCCTCATCATCAGCAACTTTTCTCAAGCCAAACAGAAGAGCAGCCTGATGGCCACCGACCCCGGGACGCTGCGTAACCAGTCGAGGCTGGCACCGGAGATCATCACGGCTACACAGTACCGCAAGTGTGATGAGTTCCAAACCGGGATCCTCATCTACGAGATGCTGCACAGACCCAACCCGTTCGAGGAGACGCCGGACCTGAAGGAGCGGGAGTACACATGGGCGGACCTGCCGCCGCTGCCCGTCCGGTCGCTCTACTCTCAGGGTCTGCAGCAGCTGGCCAGGTTGCTGCTCACCGTCAACCCGTCAGAGCGCATCCAGATGTCAGAGGCCCGAGCCTGCCTGCAGTGTCTCCTCTGGGGGCCCCGGGAGGACCTGTTTCAGGCGCTGGGCTGCAGTAGCACAGGCCCCATGTCAGGAGCCACGGCGAGCCAGCGGGAAGCCACCCTGCAGAACTGGCTGGACCTGAAGCGAACCTTGATGATGATCAAGTTTGCTGAGCGCTCCCTGGACACAGCCTGCAGCGTGAGCCTGGAGGACTGGCTCTGCTGCCAGTACCTGGCCTTCGCCACCACAGACAGCCTCGGCCGTGTGGTGCACATCCTGCAGCAGCTGCCCCACAACCAGAACCAAACCCAAACACATCCGGCACACACACACCGACTGACTCAGTCGCAGCAACTCTAAGCTGCTCTTCCCATCTGTTACTATGGCAACTCCTCCAACCCCCCCACCCCCTTCCACTCTGTGCTCCCTCAGCTGATGGTGAAGTGTGAATTAAGCTGGCTGTGAGGCACCGCAGTGCTCTGCAAACACTGAGCAGTCTGTTTTCCTCATCAGTTTCTGCTGTGACCCCATTACTGCTATGGAGTCCTCAGCAGCGCCTCTGAACCTGATTAGATCCTTACCAAACGTTTAGGGAGATCATCAGAGGTTTGAGCTGCAGGTCTCAGTCATTCACAAAAACACAGCAGTGAAGATTTAGAAATAAAAGGCGGCGCTATGAAAAAACTGAGACATTTAAACAGTTAGTTCTAGAGATCTTTTAGGGCTAAAGCAAAAATGTTTGTAATGAACAATAAGAAAACCAGATTTATTTTAAAGGAATTAAAAAAAAGGGTTTTAGAAATTTTTATGTAACACCGATGAAAAGTAGTTGATAAATTTCCATTGAAGCCAAAGATTAGCCTCAAGCTGCCCACACAAAGTTTCCTAGACAGGGTTTTTTTTTTCTAGAAATGCACAGATTAGACTCTTGTGTGTTTTAAACTGCCAATAAAGATTTCAGATCATAAGAAGAAATATAAACAGGATTGGAAATGTTTTTTTTTTAACCACAGACGCTCCATCATACTTTATAACAGCAGTAAAGATGACATCCACTGTGTGAGAGCAGCTGCTGTAGAACAGGGTTTAATTGATAACAAATCTCAGAGTTTACATTCGAACTGGTTTAAGCAGCTTATATTTGTGTTTAAAGGATCAGTGCAGCCTTCTTTAGGAAAACAGTATTCTCCTCGTTAAACTCAGAAAAATGGATGATTATCTTCATTTTTTAGATTTCCAAAAAACTCAGTGTTTCTAAATACAGCGCAACTCTTCACCGAAGGTATAAACACAAAAGGATTAAAGAAAACGCTGTACTATATGCAGCCTTCCCGTTAGGTGCTTGAAGTCTTGCTCTCTCTCACTCTCTTCCAGCTCAAAACAACCACTTATATTACTCGTCACATAGAAACTAAATAGCTTCTATCTCTGTGCTCCTCCTTGATGCTGAAAACATGGAACTTTTTCTTTAAGTACAGAAGAAACACTAATCAAACATGTTGGACCTTTCAGTTACTGACAGCTAACGATCTTCTGATTATGATTTCTGGATGCATCTCTTGTTTTCCCAGATTGTCTGAACAGAACATGGTTAAAAAGATGAGTCTGACTCTGAAGTTTCAGGCGCTCATTTTTAAAAGCTAAAGGCTATTTTCCGGTTGAAATGAATGGCTTTCCATACATCCTGTTGACCAGTCTGACCTCCCTCAGTGTTTTTCTACAATGGCTCATTTTATCTCATATTAACTCTTCCATTGGTTTTTTGGCACATAAACTGATTTTATTTTAATCCTGCAACTTAAAATACATGGATTTCTTCCCTTGGATGAAATGTTTCATGGACTGCAAAATAGTTTTTTTTTTTTTTCCTTTTTTTTTGTCGCATTGTTTTCTGAGCTACAGATTATATTTGCACATTGTGTCAGAGCGGTGGTGTATGAGTGGACGCCTAAGGTTTTAGAGAAACAGAAGACTAAGAAAAGTTGTGAAATGGAAGATTTGACTGTGTTTTTGGACTGGGATAGATGTTTGAACTCTTACTGAAACAGCCTTGAAAAGTAGGAACGAACTAATGCAACCACTGCTGAATGTTTCTGGCCCTCTTGTCATCCGTTCGGTCCTGAAATAAATCCTGATCTCTGGTCAGATGGCTTATTCTGCCTCGATTAAAGGGATGTGCGTTATTAATCGCAGCCTTTCAGCTTCCAGTCAATGCAGGCACACATGCCTCCCTCCACCATTCATACTCGGATTAAACACTTTATTTGAGCAGTTTGCTTGTTTTGCTCTTTTTTTTTTTTTTAAGTTGAACTCTTTTTGTTTTTATTTTTACAGTATATCAACCCTGCAGCAGAGTGCGGATCTGGAATAATTTCTTGCAGATGTACAGTTAAAACCAATGGTTCAGATTTAAAAAAGATAAAGTGGTATTTGATTCTGCAGTAGCGTATGGTGAGGTATGTGTGTGGGACAGCACTGGTGGCTGGCCGCCTTTATATAGTAAAAAAGATAAATTTAACCTTTATCTATTTTATCCACACACTGTTTTATGGAGTACAGAGCACCTGTATTTTTCTTGTCTAATAGTCATTTATTCATTGATGCTTTACTTGACTCTCTTTCTCCTCGCATGTTCTGGAGGAAGATTAAAGTGAGTAGTTATCACTGTCCTACGCAAACAAATGACCAGAGAACATCTCCAATATCACGTGCATTAATACGGCGCAGTGTACAGTATTTTATCGCTTGTGTGAGTTTACCTAAAAAGGAGAAAAACCACTGTGGCTGAAACGACGTCTTTCTGAACCAGCTTTCAACGCGTTCAGATTATGCATCAGATTTTTCTTCTGTTCCGGTAAATTCCACTGAGTTTTAAAGATGAACAGGAGCTCTAATGCTTTCTGTGAGGTGTCCAGTTCTGTCTGCTGGCTTCATCGCCATTAATTGTTGAACAAGTTAGACTGTAACAGAACAATAAATATATGTTTTTATATATATAAACATACTGTCTTTGTGTCTTTTTAGCCTTTATATGTCTACCATGTTCACACACTCCCTTCAGTCTCTAAATAGTATATCCCAAACTTTCCAAAAAAGTAAAAAAAAAATCCACTGGACTTTGTTTCCAAGTTTGAAGACGTTTCGCTTCCCATCCATGAAACTTTTTCAATTCAAAATGTCTGGATTAGCGTTGAGTTCCAGGCTTGAGTTGGTCCACTCCATAACGCTTCGAACTAAACACTAATTCAGACATTTTAAATAGGAAAAGGCTTCCTGGATGGGCAGAAAAGCATCTTCAAACTTGGAAACAAAGTCCAGTGGATTGTTTTTTTGTTTTGTTTGAAATGACTATGACCTGGATGACTGAGAATCTTCACCAGCATATGTTCCAACCCTTAATCCACATCATACCTGTAAAAACCAAAACCAGAAAATGTTGCTCCCCCTTAGGATTACTGGGAACGATTTTCGTCCCTGGTATTTTTCCATCTACACCGGCCCACTTATGACCCTGGTATGATTTAAGGAGGGCTGACCCTCCCACGCTGAAATTAGGTCAACGCCCGGTATAACAGATTACCAGTCCGAGCCTGTGTAACTAGTAACTTAATAATGTGACATTGCCAAAAGGTCTAAAAAAAAAAACACATAAGCAGAAAGTAGGATCAGGTCTGTATGATACTACTTCAAAGAAATAAAATAAAAATATCTTTGTGTTTATAAGCAGTGCTTACTTGCTTCCTTTTTTTATATGAAGGTTTCTTCTTTGGCCACCAGGGGGAGGCCTTTACAAGGTGGGAAAAAAACTGCTTCTGATTAACCTTATGCTATTATGTTGTTTACTCTCTCTTCAGTACATTAGAACCCTCTAGTTATGCAACCACCATTAAAAAGTGTTTCTAAATGAATGGAGAAAATACAAAAATTATAAATTGGTCTTCTCCTGTTTTTTCCCAAATTCATATATAAAAATAAATTGGATAGGATTTCAGTTTCAGTGCCCTACAGTTTATTCACCCCAACATCACACACTTTATAAGATAAACAGATCAAAAACACATCAGGAAATGTAAAATCAGATCAAACACAGTCGGAATATTTGGAGGGATTTAAATAAAACAACATTCTTTTTTATTTGTGATGACGTTCTAATGCGATCAAGTTTAGTTTTTAATGGCAAGCTTATTTATCTACAGAAGGCCAGCGAAGACATTGATTTTGCTGCAGTTCCTCATGTGGTGAGAGGCCAAAGAAAGCTCAGGGTGAGCGGCCATCTGCCTTCACTGACCATAGAGGGCGAGAAAATGGAACAGACACAAAAACAGAGACACTCGTCATTTGTATTTCGATGTGCAATAAAATCTTGTTAATGGCAGCAGTCACTCCATTTTCCGTTAGAAGACTGAGTTAAACAGAACGGAAACTGTGTCATCTAGAGCAGGAGAATGTAGCCAGTGGCAGCACTAGGTCAGAGGATGTCCCTACTCTAAAAAAGTGAAAAGAAATCCAGAGAATGAATTAACAGGTTAACATATGCTTCCAGTTTCATCCAGAATGTTAATTCTGGATGAAACTGGAAGCATCCGAATAGACCCAAAAATCGAGGAAGCCTGTCTTTTATAAGATGATAACAGCTTAAGTTCTCTATCCATACACTCACAGGTAAACTTGTCTGTTTAAAGCACATTGTTTCAGATGAAGTGTCAGCGAGGTGCATGAAAACCCGACATGTTTGTATTTCTAGTGATAAGATGAAAAAAAGCTTTTTTTCCTCAAATCGTTCTCAGACAGCAGGTTAGAGATGGAACAATGAATGGATGATATTAATAACCCCTCAAATACTGCTGTTTGTCATTGGTAGAAAAAAAGAGGTACCCTCATTGAACCTGGTGGTAAGCAGCTAAAAGACAAGAACATTTGCACTGATTAACTTCCCAGAGAAACAAGTTAGGAATTAATTAAGTTATCTATACGAATCCTTACATTTACTTATTGCTTTAGCAGCTCACAGTAGCTTTCTATAAATATGCAATATGAGATGAAGGCTTTTTATGTGGCAAGAAAAGTGGAAGGTGCTGTAATATTTAGATTCAGCTTTAAGGAAAAACAAGATTGTTAATTAAGTTCCTGCTCTAACAATGGTCTCATCTTAGAAAGCAATCAAATAAAGCTTTAATAATGGAATGCTCTAGTGGCTTTATCACCGGTGTTTATGCTGGCATCACTGGATCAATAATGGAGCCCAATGTGGTCCCATTTTTCCATTTGCTGATGGATGAAACATCAGAGGGTATTGTTAATCCAGACTAGGATTAGGATTTTAGAGGTTATCTGTGAAACCAGTTCAGGTGGCAGCTGACTCAGGCTTTCAGAGAGAATAACTGCTGGATTCTTGAGCTGATGGATGTTTTTATGAACAAAAATCCAATGTATATGTTATGGCTGATCTTTTTACAGTGAAGCATCATCTTTGTTTAAGGTCCTAATTATGATGCATCTAACAACAAATTATTAAAGCGGTCATAGGATGATTCTGTAGGGTATTTGGTGCTGGTCCTTAAGGTCTCTGAATAGGGTTTGTAACATTAGTTGGGCTGAAAAGGGCATATTTGCTGTTCTATGTGCCCTAATTCAAGCCTGGTTAAAAACCCTAGAATGAAGCGACAGGTTTTCTTCCTTTTATGGCATGCTGATGATTATTTAGATGAACTGTGCTCTGATTGGTTGGTTTACAATGAGCGCAGCTGCTGAGCAAAGATGCATTATAGCAGCAAGCACTCACTCACTGAAACATGGAAATTGTTGATATGGTAGCATTGCTATCAACAGTTATCAGAATCATACAGCTTGCGGATGTGGTGGCCTTACGGTCGGAACAGCCCCTCCTCTCAGTAAAATAAGTTTAGCAAATCCTGCTTTGAACTGTCCAAGATTTTGAAAGCTGTCTTCCGTAAAATAGTTAGAGCAAATGAACAGCTGAGCATCAAACTTTGCAGGGATCTTCTGATACACAAAATAACCCATGCTTGTTGAGTCTTCAGATCCTTAGGAAGACTAAAAAATGTCCACTTTCTCTGTGCAGTCTGGAACGCTGCGTTTACGCCCATTCTGGCTCATTTTCAATAGAGAAACTGCCTGCTTTGTAATTCTTGTAGAAGTAAACCCAACTGTAGGATAAACAGCTAAACTGGTGTCTTACATCTACCTCTATTCATGCTCTTTGGTCAGTGAACCAGTGGGCTGGTCTGTGTGTCAATTTCAGGGCGCGACAAAAGTACAGGCCAGAACCAAATAAGGCAACATCCCTGAATTGACGTCAATTCTGGGCTTCTTTGGATTCACCCGGTTTATGATAGAAGTTTAGGATTGGGAGATTTGCAGAGGAAGAAGGTGTTGATGGGGGGTGAACTTCTCTGTATGTCCATCTCACCCACTGAACTATCGTTATTCATTTGTGACTCCTTTAAGGCATCAATATCACAACATGATTACTGACAGAAAGAAATAAAAAGACCAGAAGGACACAATTTCAAGGATTTACATGAAACTTTATTATTATTATTTGTTGGTTCAAATACAGAAGAATATCAGAAGGCAGAATTAAATAAATTTTTATTTATATTTCCCTTTGAAGCACTTGAGATAACCAAAGTGCCATACATTAAATGAACAATAAAGGAACAAAGTGAGACACTATAACCAATAACAATATAAAGGTAAAAAATATGACACCTTGTAACTGAATGTCAAAAGCTAGTCTGAATAAATCTTTAAATAGGTTAAAGTCATTATTAGTCTGCATGTCAGGAGGCAACATGTTCCAGATCCCGGGCCCAGCCCCTAGACAAGTAGAAAAGCAAGTTATGAATTTACATATGATGTCTATGGCAGCTTTTTACTGTAGTGATTGATATTTTGGCAAATCTCAATAAATCATCAAAAACACAGGTCATTTTTGTCATTGATTTAAAATGTGAAGCTTGAGGGTATGTTATGTAATAATTATGGCTTACAGTCAACGAATGCCTGAAAGAAATCACTATTAGAAAACTTTAACACAAAGATTATCTTATGATCATGTTACGACTCCAATCATTGCTAAATATGCAGACTGCTCTGAGTATATTAATAGAAGGTTGAGTGGAAGGAAAAACTATGGTAGGTCCACAAGCAACAGGGATTACTTCTCACATCAGAGGATTCTATAAAAAAAAAAAGTTTTAGGGTTTTATTACATGTTGTCTTCAATATTAAGACGTCATGTAATCCTTGTTTTAAATCATGCTTGATTTTAAAGATGGTCAGAGGAGTCCTAACCATGGCCTACAGGAAACTGCAGTGGACTACAAGTGATCCTAATTTCCCTTTTAAAGCTACAGTGTGTAATAATTACAAGGAAATACAGTCAGAAATGTAATATATTATACATAACTATGTTATTTATCATCATCTACGAGCTCAGCCTCTTAATCTTAATATTTGCGTTGCCTTAGAATTATAATTATATTATTATTATTATTTATAATTACATAGGAGCGGGTCTCGCAGCCATGGAGGCAGACATCTTTGCGCTACGGCAGCGCAGAGCCAACAAAGTAGCGATTGCGAGATCGCCAAAACGTCACAACGATGTAGAAAAAATAACGGATATATTTATTATCTTAAGTCTACATGAAATCTATACCCTACACAGACTAATGAAATACTATCTGTAAAATTATCTATGTAAACAAACCTCATCACTTGAGAAGGTAGGTGATGTGGACGTCGTGGAAGACATTTTGTCCCGTAACGCTCGCCGTACTGTTGGGGGGGAGAAGCGGTGGGGGGGAGATGTTCATGTTGCTGCAGTCTGCAGTCTGACCGCTAGATGTCGCTAAAAGTTACACACTGTAGCTTTAATTTAAACTATATGGGAATCTTTTTGAATATCAAGGCTAAAGAGTCTTGAAGAGGAGTAGAGGAGCAGATAATCAAGCAGGTTTCCATATTTAGTCA